AATATTCATAACTCCTCGTAGGGTTCTGAAGACTAAAGAGGGAGAGCACAGTGCCTGGCATCTGCGTGTGTGTGTGTTTTCCCCTCTCTCTCTCTTCTGGGTACACATCACTCAAGAATAAAAAGAAGGAAGAAACCCCTGCCCCTGACTCCTCGCTGTTGCCTTTCCACAAGTGGAACTCGCCTGACCATTCACGCAGGTGACCCAACCCTTTCTATATTTCCAATATTATAGCCTTCAGCTAGGATAATGCCATCTCTTATGGCTTAAAATTTTAATTATGCTACTTGATAAAGAAGGAACCCAGAACTGTTTTCTCTGGTAGAGGTGACAAAGTCTACAATACCCTAAGTTAGTTCTGTTGAACTAATTTTAAATAAAAAAAAAAATGTACACAAACACCGACATTGTGCTTTCACTTTCATTTTCCTTAAAAATGTCCTTGACACAAAGTTACAAAGGCAGCGGTTGTCAATTTATAGGCAACATTGTTGTGGACACAATACAGGGTTAAGGCTAAAAGTCAGTAGGACTTGGACTCAAATCTGGCACCTGGTTGACCTCCCTGTCTTCACGGCCCAGTCTATCCAATGTGGATGTGGTCCTACACCCTCCGCTCAGTTACAGGTGAGGACTCAAAGAGACAAGGAAGATGACACAGGGACAAGGTCTAGAACCTGATGGGGGCTGCTCCTTAAGCTGTAAGTACTACAATTGTGATTATTATTTAGATAACTAATAATAGGGACGCTTGGGTGGCTCAGTCGTTAAGCAACTGCCTTCGGCTCAGGTCATGATCCCAGGGTCTTGAGATGGAGCCCCACATCGGGCTCCCTGCTGGTGGTGAGTCTGCTTCTCCCTCTCCCACTCCCCCTGCTTGTTATCTCTCTCGCACGCTCACTCTCTCTCTCAAATAAATAAATAAAACCTTTAAAAAATATATAACTAATAATATGGTCCAGTAGAAATCAATTTTGGTTCTTCTTATCTTGAAACTTTGCCTTGGGAGCACCTTCAAGATTTGCTTGCCTAAACTACGTGACCAAATAAATCTTTTATTGTATCACAAAACCCAGAAGACTCATCCTCAAATAATATTTAAGTTGACCCTTAACTATTTTTTAATTATGCAAGACTTTCTCCGATGAAGTCAAATGTGCATAATAAATCCTTAGAAAAAAAAATAACAAACTCTCACTTAGAGTTAATTGTCACAGCGTCTACTGTGACAGGTGTACTCCCAGGCAGCAATCACAAGCTCAAATACTCAATGAGTCAGAGTTTCCTTTCACTAACACACAAGGTTAGAAACAGGTCACACGCTCTGAGTCAACGATTGCTTGCTTTCAGCTTATAATTCAAAATCTGACCTTTTCTGAAAATGTTACTATGCAGCATCACAATCATTTCCATCGCTCATCAGTAGGAAGGAAGATTAGGAATAACTTTTGCTTTTCAGAGTCCAGCTGTTCTGGGACTAAACCCATAAAAGCTGTTTAAAGGAGGTTGAAGATCAGCAATTAATGACTATTTCTAACTTTCATTAAAGCTCAATTCCCACGAACACAGACTATATTTATTCTGTACAAAGGAATTTGAAATAGAACTTGAAAAACAAACAGCCAGGAAAAGAAGAAGTAAATCATAGGAAGAACCATAAATAAAAAAGAAACCTTTAATGAGGAGTTTTTTTTTGTTTGTTTTTTTTTGGCTCCTGACCCTGTGGAGGGTGCGCCATCTAGTGGGAATTCTTGATGAATGCAATCTTATTTCCACTGCTTATGTTAAGACTTGTTTTCCTTGTCATCATTGTTGTTGTTGTTTTAACAATCTGTACAGAAAGATCCTTATGCAAAGTGTTATAAATATTGTTTTCATGCAGTTCAGCTATAGGAACTCATGTATGTACCATTTATGTTCCATAGTTAAGCAAGAGTGCTATCTGCTTGTTCTAGGTATCTTTCCAATTTTACAAGCAGGAAAGTATTTTTAGGTGCATTTAACACTAAAATAAACCTCTATAAATTTTCATGTGAGACTCTGAAAACTTTTAGTTCCAAAAACGGAGTCAAAGTTTAAAAAAAAAAAAAAAACACTTCCGTAGCTTTAATTCTAAAGCATCAGCTCCAGCAATGTTTCCTTCTCTCCTTGGAATTCAATTATATAAGAACAGAGGATGGATACTGAGTAGGTCTCCAGCTCCCACTTACTGTTCCATGTGTTTTTCATGTTTCATGCAGGTAATGGGTTGTTAATAATGAAGAGGAGAGAAAAGGTGCATTTGGAGGAAGCAGGCTTGCAATTCTTTGTAGCATGTGCCTTAAGACTCAACATACTTCATCAACATTTCAGTACAAGTTGCACTGTGGAATGAGCATTGAAAAAGCAAAGGCAAATTCAGATGGTCTACTTAATAGATACCTCGGCACCTTTTTAAAGAAAATCAGATTAAGTAGATGTGATGGTAGCAACAGTACTCTTCACAATAGTATGTGTCCACATGGTGATTTTTCCCAGACCTATCGAGTGCTGATTTTTAGGAGGAACATGGAAGGGCCACTGATTTGTGAAAAGTTAGAAAGTTAGCAAGTTGAGATTTATACTGCCGACTGCAAACAAGCCAAATAATTTAAAAAATTATGGTCTTTAAGGCACATCATTACCAGATAAAGATTAGACCCCAACCCCAACTCATATATCAAACAAATACTTGCCAGCACACTGTAAAAAGTGAGAAGACCCACACAGCACAAACCACAAAAATAGTACGCTATATAATGCACTGTAACTTGCAAAGCAGCTTGTTTTATTATTAAAAAACATTTTGCCTGTGGAATTCTCATTGTACAAATGTTCTGATTGATATTTTTATGAATCTGGGGTTGTGGTATGTATTTTTATTGAGGGATGTTGTTTTGTTCCCTTTAGATAGTTATAATACATTTTAATAAAATAACCTCTTTGTTCAAGGGAATTGAATGATTCATGATTTTGCTGAGTTCTTTCCTGTTGGAGCTTCTCACAAAGCAACCCCTGGCTGTTTGACTTTCTAAATAGCCTGAGTGATTCCAAACTCTCTTTAGCAAAGAGAGATGAATGCTGGAACTGGACCTCAATAAAGAAAAGCTTGTTTTCTCCCCCACACTCACACACTTGGAGAGACGGGTCCAAACCTCAAACCCAGAAGTTAGACTGTTTCTTTGCACGGTAGATTAGATTATGGTCCTTTACTCTTCACTGGTCTATGTCAGAAATGCCAAGTGCACATGTGCAAATACACATAGATGCACCCCCCAAACCAATTATCTGCTATCAACGTTGAGTTTTTACTTGTAAGCAAGATTTGGAACACAGAAACCCATGAGACTTTTTTCTCATGCGCCTACTCCTGAACACCTGACCCGGGGTTTCCAATCTGATGCTTTTCCTCCCAGGGAGAATGTCTCCCATTGGAGATGCTCAATGTGGCGAAACAAAAGCTAATTCCAGGGAACGGGTTTTTAGCATGGCTGTTATGGCCCATATTCCCTTTGGCACAAGCTTCTTTATGGTTCTGGGTTTGATTTCCTCCTTTACGAAATGAGGGGATTTGATAAAAACGTTTCTAGTGCCCTAGGAACTAAATATTTCCATTTTTTCTTGTCTTTTTTAACGACTTTTACCTGAGCTCCCATGCTCTAATACTAGTGTTTTCTTTATCTTCGGAATTTCTGTTGTTTGGGAGCACAGTAAACCACCAAAGTCTTTCACTTTAAATAAAACACAGTTCTGATGAGTTCTTCTTAACCTCTTGACTACTCTTCCCCCCTTCAACATGACACATTGTACCTCTACTCCTGGACATCATATCTTCAAAGAAATGGAATGAGAGTGGTTAATAACGTCGGTGTGAGTTAGGATACGGCCAATTCATCCCTTTGCCTGGCCCCTGTGCCCCACCGTCAGGAACACCTCACAGCAGTGGCCACAGTAAAGCCTGCCCCGGGCCTCTCCAACCCGTCCCAGGAGCTCAGCGCCCTTGAGACCCCATCACCCCGCAAAAGTCCCTCAGCTCTCACATTGTCATCTCCGCCCTGTAGACTTCTCTCCCTTCACCCTCAAGACGGGTCCGCAGGCCACGCCCTTCCTCTCCAAGCATTCTTTAACTCTTCTCACAAGACTTCTCAACAATTATGAACACACAAACCATTCTTCTTGAATCCAATAACAAACACCCAACAAACTACTAATCAGGTGGTAACAGGTATCTGAAATAAATCCCTATCGCTTTCGGAGCCCAGTGCCTCTGCCCAGCCACGATTTACAGTGAACTCTCTTGCTCCTTTCTTCCACTTGCTTCTCTCCTGAATGGGGCTTATCCCCCTCACTGTTTCCTTCTCATCCTGATCCAAATCTGGACCAATCTTCACGGGAGACGCCTTGGATCAGGCAGGTGGTGGAAACGCACACAACGTGAAGACATCCCTCAGCTCCCTACCTTTACGTCTCCCTAACCCCCATCCCATCCCATGACCAATGAGCCTGCCTTCTAGCAAATGCTTTCTGCCTCCCGTGCAGAAAATCAGCTCTCCAGTTTATGTGTGTGGTTTGTCTTCATCCGTCATGCAATTTCATCTGTTACTAATGAATAATGATTGCCAAACAATATTTCCCATTATTTCAAAAGATTACCAAAGATTAGGAAAGCGTAACTCATGTTATATCCAAAATACCCAAAGGAATATAAAAGTTTATATATACACTAAATATTTAAATCTGATCTGAAAACTAGGAAAACAGAAACATAACTTAATACAAACACACAAATACATGTGCACACCTCGACATTCAATTAAACTGTTACAATCCTGTTACCCCAAAGGTTGTAACCTAACAGTGCCCAATTAGTCTCTTTGACTCACCACTTCTTCTCTGAAAAAGAAGAAGAAAATCTAAGACTGCTAAAATGCCATCACAACTTGAAGACAGAATTACTACATAGAAAATATGCAGTCACTTACCGGTGTGCACATAAATTATTAAGATGAAGTCCGTATTTTTCTTCAGCAGATAACCCATCCATCAACAAGTAGAAAATGAGAAAATTGCTCTGGCCAACAGGTTGTGAAACAAGTCTGGATTTCTCGAGCATATATGTATAAACTCTGGCTGGTTAAGGAAAAAAAAAAGTGATCCTGTTAAATGGCATTACTAGCTTCGTTTCCATAAATTTACACAAACTAATTAATTGCAAGAGATAATACTGCAGCCGTTTTCAAATACAGACCTTTTGAAAAGTATCAATCGGCTTTATTGTTTAGAGCAGTTTTTAGGTTTCCAGAAAAATTTAGCAGAAAATCCTGAGAGCTCCATTGTACCCTTTCTCCTCCCCAACGCACAGTTTCCCCTTTATTAACATCTTGCGTTACTGTAGTAAATTTGTTAAAACTGATGAGCCAATATTGATACTTCATTATTAACTAAAGCCTGTAAATGTATGTTGGTGTTCGCTTTTTGTGTTGTACACTCTATGGGTTTTAAGAAACTCGTAACACCATGTATCCACCGGCATAGTATCATACAGAGTTGTCTAACTGCCCTAGAAATCCCATGCTCCACTATTTCTCCCTTCCTCCCTCCCTAACCCCTGACACCCACTGCTCTTTTTACTGTCTCTATAGAGACATTACCTTCCCAGAATGTTGTACAGTTAGAATCATACAGTATGTAAACTGTTCAGGTTGTAATTGTTTCAGTTTCTTTCATTCAAGAATATATATTTAAGGGTCGTCTTTGTCTTTGCATGGCTTGATAGCTCATTTCCTATATCAGCGAATAATAGTCCATCATAGGAACGTACTATAGCTTATTTATCTACTCACCTATTAGAGGACATCTTAGTTGCTGACAGTTTTTGCAATTATGAATAAAGCTGCTTTAAACATTTGTATCCACATTATGTGTGGACATAAGTTTTCAACTCAGTTGGGTAAATACCAAGGAGTGTGATTCCTAGATCGTATGGTAAGACTATGTTTAGTTTTGTAAAATACCACCAAACTGTCTTCCAAAGTGGCCGCACCATTTTGCATCCCCACCAGCAATTAACCAGAGTTCCTGTTGCTCCACATCCGTTAGCCAGTAGTTAGTGTTGTAAGTGTTTTGGATTTCAGACATTCTCATAAGTTTGCAGTGGTATTTCATTTTTGTCTTAACTCACATTTCCTAGATGACCTATAATGTGGAGCATCTTTTCATATGCTTATTTATTTTCCATTTGTGTATCTTCTTTGGTGAGGTGTCTAGATATTTTGACCGTTTCTTAAAGTGGGTTGTTTGTTTTCCTATTGCTTAGTACTAAGAGTTCATTGCATATTTTAGCTAACAGTCCTTTATCGGATGTGTTTTTTGGCCAATATTTTCTCCTTATCTGCAGCTCATCATTTCATTCTCTTAACAGTACCTTTCACAGAACAGTCGTTTTTAACTTTAATGAAATCCAGCCTATCAATTATTTCTTTCATGGATTGTGTTTTTAGTGTTGTATTAAAAGGCACTGCCAAACATAAGGTCACTTAACAATTTATCTTACATTATCTTTTAAAAAGTTTTACAGTTTTGTTTTTACATTTAGATTTTTGATCCATTTAGAGTCCTTTTTTTTTTTTAATGTGGATGTCCTGCTGTTCTAGCATAACTTGTTGAAATGCCTATCATTTCTCCATTGAATCACCTTTGTTCCTTTGTTAAAGACCAGTTAACTACATTTATGTGGGTCTGTTTCTGAGCTCTCTATTCTGTCCCATTGATCTATTTGTCTATTCTTTCACCAATACCACACTGTCTTGACTCCTGCAGCTTTAGAATAAGTCTTGAAGTTGGGTAGCACCAGTCCTCCAACTCTGTTCTTCTCTTTAAATGTTGCATTGGCTATTCTGGATCTTTTAACTCTCCATATAAACTTTGTGTCAATATCCACAAAGTAACTTGCTGGGATTTCTATTGGGATTGTGTTGAACCTATAGATCAAATTGAGAAAAACTGATGTCTTAACAATATTGAGCCTTCCTCTCCATGAACCTTAAATATCTCTCCATCTACTTAGATCTTCTTTGATTTTTTTATCAGAGTTTTGTAGTTTTCCTCATAAAGATCTTATAAATATTTTGTTAGATTTATACCTACGTAGTTCATTTTTTGGTGGTAGTGGAAATAATATTTGTGTTTTTAACGTCAAATTCCAATTGTTCATTGCTGATATACAGGAAAGCAATTGACTTTTGCATATTAAGCATGTATCCTGCAACCTTGCTGGCTTACTAGTTCCAGGAGATTTTTGTTGTTGTGATTCTTTCCAAATTTCTACAGAGATAATCATGTCATCTGTGAACAAAGACAGTTTTATTTCTTTCTTCCCAATCTGTATATATACGTATTTTTTTTTTTCTTGCCTTACTGCATTAGCTAGGACTTCCAGTACAATGCTGAAAACAAGTGGTGAGCGGGGACAGTCTTACCTTGTTCTTGACCCAGCATGGAACTTTTGTGCACAAATATAATCTGACGCAAAACACGTCCTTGGGTATAACAAAAGCACCCAAAAAAGTTTTAGAATTTCCTTCATTACTGTCTTACAATTTGAAAGCACAAGTCGTATTGCTATGGTGTGTGTATATATATATACATATATATATATATATATATGTATATATATATATGTAGACGTTGATTATAAAGTGTTCTGCTGTAGGCCCTCTAGCAAGTATTGCTACCAACCACATCAGAAGTGTGCAGAGCCACACTATACAAAGACCAAAAACATAGACAATAGTCTCTCACTGCTGCAAACACTGGGAACAACCCACTGTTGGAAAGGCAAACATGACTTGAATTTATGCAGACACAATTTAATACATAGAAGGTATATTAGGAAAATTTCAAGACCTATATTGAAATCATAAAAAAGGAGCCAAGTCATGGTTTATAGCCTGGTAGTAGATAATGAAAGAGATGCCTCGATAATAAGGTTTACATCCCTATTAAGGAGTAAGACAGGTGATGTGTTTATAAAGTAGTGCATGCCCAGCGTGAACATTGTCTAGCCATCTTGTGGTTTGTTGTGACCTCACATGTACAGTAGAGAGTAATATCTATCACTTGGGGTTTCTGTCTTTAAACATTACAAAAATACAAACAAAAATAACCCATGTCATGAGAACATGTTGTTGACATTTTATTTCATAGAAGCTGAACAATGACAAAAGGATAGAGGATGGGAATCACAAGCCTGATTTTGCTTCAGAGATAGGACTGGCAATACAGAAATTATTGTCAATCAACATTTATGGCTACATGTGTGGCAGGCTGAAAATTCTAGTTTTTCTGGAGTATTTTTTATTTGAATTTAGGTTTATTCTTATCATTATGAACGGCCAGTAAACAATTAAGCATTCCGATTTCAAATGCAACTGTGAATTACTGTAGTTTCTCACTCCAAAGTAAGGATCCATGGTCAATATATATATATATATATATTTTACCAAAAGGAGGCAGTTCTTAGGAAGTCAAATGGATGTAATTATATCCTACATTTGAACTAGAAACATCATCCTGTGCAATGAGTCTGCTGATAATTATTCTAGAGTCCTGCCTCCAAAAGCAAAAATATGAGGTCTCCTAGTTTTGGTTTTACATAACAAATCTACTTGAACAAATGGAACCACTCATACGAGCTTTCCCTCTGGTAAGTTCATTAAGTGGTCAATCCAGCCTGTCATCATGATTATTAGTGCAAAAAAAGAAAAAAAAAAAACAAACCAAGACCTCAAAATTAACACTCCCTAGTTAGAAAAGTTGTTTTATTAAAAACCTTTTAGAAAAGTTGTTGTAAGTGCATAAAGAAAGTCTCTTTCAAAATATCCCTTTAATTAGTTGTCCAAAGGTGATGCTAAAATTAGAATGGGGTAGTGTAGTTTCTTTCCCATCTCTCCTTGAGTGTTAAATCAGGTGATAATTTCAAGGAGAGGTCTTAACTACTACACTTTCTTTCCTCTCTTTTTTTCTTTCTTAGGCAAATTATTTGCTGAAAACATTTTCCATGTAGTATTAATAATATTAGCCCTGCTGGAGAAGATATTTCTAAAATCACATAGGAAATAAACTGCCATAGTTGTTCCTTCCCATTATTTTTTAGTCGTCAACTACAGAAGTATCAAGAGGGAATGGAGAGCTGAACAGATGTCTCCTGACCATCCTGCTTCTCTATTCAGATAAGAGGCTGATGCCCATTTGTCCCAGCCAATGTACAAGCTTTGTTTAGAGCAGCATTCACAACTAATCCACTTCCACATCATAGAGTGACTTCAGTACTTTTAATCTAAATTCAAAAGCAGTGTAATTAGTAATCATCCCAGTTAGCTCATCTCCCACAGTGAATAAAATTGCTGTGGGTTAGCAGATTCTGATCAGTAGGATTTTGAAGAAAAAAAATATATATATATATGTATATATATCTTAAAGGGGCTTTTAGCTAGAGGAAAACACAAAACAACCAAAAATTCAAATTTCTATGAGACCCTAATATTCTTCCAAATGGAGAAAATACCAGCCTTTTTGTTGTGTCTGAAATGACACTGAAATAAAGGAAGGAAAATGATGGGTATGGGGTTAAGGAGATTTGACTCATTCATGTAAATGTCCACACACAGAGAAAAGCTTCTTGCTGTTTTTTTTTTTTTGACTTCTCAAAACCTGAATGCTTTAAAAGATGTTTTATTTCAGTAATATCCCTGACTAGAAATATACCTGTGATCCTCTATCTTTCCAGAAATCTGCATATGAATATGTTGCTCAGAAAGTTTTGGCACTGTAAAGACACACTTGTTTGCAGATTATATAAGACATAATATGCAGTAAAAGTATTTTACAGAGCTATACTAATTTTTCTTAAATTATAAAAGAAAATGGAGGAAATAAATCTCCTCTCCTTCAAGAAAGACAAATACCTACCCTCACTGCCCTTCCCATTGACTTCCAGAAACTTCCAGCACTCACTGTCATCTGTCCCACCCTTCTAGTTATAAATCATGACCAGTTAGGATCTCTTCCCAGAGAGCCCCATCATGTCTTCAATTAGCAATCACCTAAAAGCACACTGTTGCTTAATTAAT